GGCAATGTTACGATTTTAAATGTTATGGCATATAGACCTGTAAATATTTTATGACTAATCCTTTTTTTATTGATTCTCGTAATTTGTAGGTCAAAATATACCTGAGCTTCGATACCAGTTATTTACAGAAATATCTAGACCCTTCTACAAGAAAGGTCGAGTATTCAGGAATGCAGTCGACGGCCGAGAATGACTCACCTAATGGATGGAAAGATCGATGCCTAGCCAGATTTCTCTAGATAACGGCATTTTGATGTATAAATAACGGTGATCCTCATTGAGGGGAGTCAGTCATAAGAAGTTCGGGAACCGCGATATTTAAATGTAACGAAACATAAATTATTATTTGTAATATAAATTAGGATTAATAAAGACTTTAATAAATTCGTAATTAGTTATCGTGAGTTTTAATAAATTAGAATATAGACAATAAATTAGAATAAAGACAAATAAATTACAACTATATAAACTTAACAGTATAAATCAAGCTTTTGAAAATTTCTTTGTTGTTTTTAAAATAACACATACAAAATTCTAAGGTTGTATAACCTGACTGTCTTCTCTAATTCTACTCTTTTATTATTTTCTAAGATTGCAAATTTCTTTGTTGTGACGGAATAAGTAACGTGACTCGTAAAATATTTTATGGCCAAGTAGAAAACTGCATCACCAACATCATACCCTGGTTGTTCCCCGACTCTGTAGAGTTCTTCGTTGTTAAAAGCCGTGTAGAATTGCAGGTGCTGTCATTTTTATGGCTTCAGTTGAAACGTAACACGAAAAGGTCATAAATGTTAACAAGAAACGTCTAAATAACTGCCAAATCTTTGCGTTCTGTGCTGTAAGAACTTTTTACATAAACATAGTTAATGGGCTTTATGGTGGTGGCTTGAATATGTTGTATTTCATGTTTCAATGTTTGTATGTTCAATGTCACATATTTTCTTTTTGTAATTATTGTAGAGAATTATTAAATTACACAGCAATAGTAAATTTTTATTAATTATTTTAATTTATTAATAAAATTTAATACTTTTTAATGCCATAAAAGACACATTCAATTTTAATTTACAAATGTATGAAAATTACTTGGATAATACCATAAAATAACTGCAAAAGTTGTTGTATTTTGCGATTTTTACACTAAACAAAAAACTCTGTACTCTGTTTTCGAGATTTATTAATCAAAAAAATTGATTGAATTGTTCCGCGATTGTTTAATGAGTTTTATACTTTTTTTATACTGTTGCAATTCTGGATTTATCTCTGTGAAATAATTTTTTGTAGACTGTTTGATGCAGATTTCCAAACGTGTTATTGTATTCAATACTGATATTTTTATATAATCTATCTAATATTATGGCTACTCTTTTCTTCTCAGTTCCCAGACGACGTTCTATTAAACCCTATAAAAGCATTCTAAGAAGATAATCAATCAGGCATGTATATATTTTTTATCTCACATTCAGACCCAGCGAGTGAAACAAATCCCTTAGAGGCTTTTTCTCCCAGTTGTTTTGTGACACACTTGTAAATCTCTATACAAAGTCTCGTTCTTTGGCTTTTTCTTAATATATGTGATCAACTTTTTTCATGTTTATTTGGACGGAAAGAGTAGTTTTTGGGAGTTCTAAAAGAATATAGCCGGATTTTATGGCTGATGTACGACCAGAAATGTGGCATCTTTTTGTCTCGAGACCAGCAGAATTTGTACAAAAACAGCTGTCAGAGGTATGTACAGAAAAAACAAAGTACATGCTACTTTTTAATACATATCGGCTCAGAAAGAACGAACAAATTATAACAAACTTAAAAAATCGTTTAAAAGGTTGCTTGTAGAAAAGTTGTAATTTATTTCATTTTTTTGGCTTTGTAATTTTTGGCAATGTTATCCATGTTCTATATTTTTTATTTGTTTGTAAAGAATTTGACCACAAGTAGTCCATCTCAAGCTAATAAGTATTTGAATTTCTTAGATCTCGTTTTCTTTAATTATTCCTATCTATGTGACTCAAATATTCATATTCTTTTTACTATTAGCGTTTCTATTAATTTGTTTCTGTCTAGTATATCGCACGCGGCTTTGTAATCAATGAAAAGTACTTATGCTAAAATTTTGTATTCATAGCAATTGATCAGAATTTGTTTTAGCATAAAAATTTGATCTTCCCTTGCGAAATTTTCCCTGGTATTCTCCTAGATTTTTCTCTACATATATTTCTAATCGTTTTTTAATTAGTATGGAGAGCACTTTATATATTACCTCTAACAAGTATATTTCTCTATAGTTTGCGCATTCAATTCTATCTCCCTTTTGGTGTATAGGAATTATAATGGACTTGTTCCATTCGTGAGGCATTTCTTCGGCATCTCACACTTAGTATTATTATTTATTATTTATTATAACATAAGCGAGGGCAGAGGAACTAAGTCCCTATTATGCCCAAAAACAAAGAAAATTCATTAATCACCTACTAGTAAATAACAGAAATTACAAAAAAAAAGAAATAAAATTACAATTTTATGGTTTAAAAGAAAAACAATATTTTAACTATAATGTAAAACGGTCAAGTCTGTTTTTGAACGAGTTGGTAGAGGAAGCGGAGACAATGTTATCGTTGAGGTTATTCCAGCACTCAAAAACTCTATTTGGAAGAAAGTTCTGTCTTTATCTTGTAGAAAAATTTTCTTTCTTTAGTTTGTACTGATGACCTCTGAGGCGTTCATCTTGATTTATGATAAATATTTCATCGAGGTTTCCAAAATTGAATTTTAGTATTTTGAATATTGTAATTAAGTCTCCACGTTGTCGGCGAAGTTGTGGGTCTTACGTACAGAGTGTAAAGTTTACAAAATGATTGCATTGAAACTCTCGAAAAACACCTCCGAATAAGATACAGTCTGGAGTTTGCACGTTTACAAATAGAGGTAATATGGTCGGACCAAGTTAGGCTGCTGTTCACGATAACACCAAGATCGTTATACGAAAATACAGATTCTAATGGCTGCCCGTTAACAAAGTACGGCACAAGTGGGTTATTTTTGCCAATTCGAAGCACTCCACATTTTTCCGCGTTTAAGGGTAGTAACCACTGGGAACACCAAGTTAAAATAGAGTCCAAGTCCATTTGGAGGGTTAGCTGGTTTGTGTTTGGATTGGCATATATTTTTGTATCGTCAGCATAGAACGATATTTTACTTGAGAAATAATAAGGAATATCGCTGGTGTAAACCCTAAAAAGCAGAGGTCCAAGGACAGAACCCTGAGGCACTCCACTTTCCACTAACCTGTTCTGTGAGAAAGATTCGCCAACTCTAATTTTGTAATATCGATCTGTCAGGAAATCATCTATCCAACGAAGTAAAGTACCGCGAACTCCGAAATGTTCTAGCTTATGTAGAAGTCTGCGCTTAGGTACACGGTCAAAGGCTTTAGAAAAATCTAGATAAACAACCTTGATCGGCTGCGAACTGTTAAGGGATGACGTCCAGTCGTTAACACAATGTAGGAGATTGGTTAGAGTAGAGCGACCAGAGACAAATCCATGTTGTTGTGTTGGAATAACATGTTCCTGGAGTAGGAATTTGGTCATCTCCTCGGAAATAATGGCTTCCATAACTTTGGCAACTACTGGCAGCAAGCTAATCGGGCGATAATTGTTGGGGTCGAGTTTGTTGCCTTTTTTAAAAATAGGGGTAACGGAAGCTAATTTCCAACTAGGGGGTAGGGAGTTCTGGATGAAAGAATTTTGCATAATTAATGTTAAGGGTATTGCAAGCGTGTCTGCGCACCTTTTTACAGTTTTGGTGTTAAACCATCTAAACCAGGTGAAGCGGCCGTGCGAAGTTTAATTAAGTGTTGTTTGACATGATCCACTGTGAATTCAACTTTCTGTAAGGATGCGCTGACACGATTACAGTTAATAGCAGGTAGATAACCATCATTTAATTCTTTAGTAAAAACCTGTGAAAATGCTAAAGAGAGAGTTTCGGAAGATTCTTTGTCAGAAGAGCATAAAGTCTGGTTGGGTTTTTGAAGTAGCGGAATGGAAACTTTACATGTCATGGAGGAACGTATTTATTTATAGACTTTTTTAATATTAGCTCACTTAGTTGGTTTATTAAAGCCTTTCTCCATATTTTAAGTTCTCTGCCACAATGCCGCTCCCCCGGGCTTTTTTGATTTTTCATTTATTTTTCTTTTATTATTTCTTCAATTTCTTCTCTTGTGGGCTTTGATATTTCTTATATCTATATTGCCGACCAAGTGACATATTTCAAGCTAATAAGTATTTGAATTTCTCAGATATCGTTTTCTTTAATTATTCCTAACTCTTTTACTCAGATATTCGCAGATCTATTTCTTAATTAAGTATGTCAAATGGGATTCACATAGTTAAATAGGAATTATTTAAAGCTTTGGAAGAAAGCATATAAATATATGAAAATAAGTATAAAGCAAACAAAATTTATGGCCATCTGCAAACGTGATATAGACAATGACAAAGTACGGATAGCAAATCAAGACATAGATAGAGTAAACAGATTTAAGTACTTGGAACGCTGGCTGGCTAAAGGATAAATGGGATCCTGATGACGAATTCAAAATTAGAACCGAAGTAGCCAGGAGTACCTTCTTCAAAATGAAAACACTATTTTTTTATAGAGAGCTCAGTCTGACTTCCCGATGGTGTGCAATTAAATAATACATACTTACTTCGGAGTTGAAGGATGAACGTTAATTGTAAGGACCATGTCAGGTGTAGATTCTTTTAAGATGTGGTGTGGTTGTACGGGTGCATATTGAAAATAGCATGGATCTAGAGAGCATCAAATAATCGAGTGTTGGAAAAATGAATACAGATAAAAACCATTGACAACAGTTCTTAGAAACTATAAGTATGTTTTTCAGCAGTTGACCGCTAAGACATAGACCGAACAAAGACGTGGTATCGAACGAAAGAAGTTGTTTTGGCAACGTATCATAAAAAAAGAAGACTTATTACATCTTTTTACTCACTATCATTTTATAATAATTATTAAATTTGTCAAAAATTTATAACGTTTGTCATTTTAACATATTCATTAGTTTTTATAACAAAAATTTACAATAAATCCACGCTTTGTAGATACAAATATATAATACATCAATCTTTTAAACAAAGCCAATATAGTTCTTGAAAGTCTTCTCTAATTCTATGAAGGGGCATTTGGTTCCAAACCTCATCATATAAGTACTCCTTCTCGACAGTATAAAAATGCAAAGCTTCTTCTGGACTGGACTTCATCTTTTCCAGTCTTTCTGAGGGTATAAAAATAACAGAACGGTTCTGAGTAGCTATATAAACAGCACAAGGTTTAAGCTCGTCCACTGAGGAAATAAAATCGTTGTAAGGAAAGACTTCTTCAATGTTAACCTCATATTGTTCCAAATTTGTCTTTACATGGTTATAATATTCATCCAGAAGTTTTGGCAGGTACTTTTGCCTCGTTTCTATATTTGTACACACCTAAAACAAATCGAAATAGAAGCTGGTTTACTTTAACAGCTTACAGATTCTGGTCAGGTATAAAAAAACCGTATGTAGATATAAAAGGAATTTACCTGAGTTAGCACCAGTAGTTCCAAAGCTGGTGGTACATATCTGCACATTTGAAAGTCGATCAAATAGCAAGCTGTAGGGTTTTTATTCCCATCCCATTTGAACATCATATTTTTCCACCAGACATCCCCATTGCAAATGACGTTTACGTACTTTTTGGATTTTCTAAAGCCTGAGTATATCTTCGAGTATACATGAGTTTTAATTCTGTTCTGGAACTCCTCCATAGACATATCTTTAACAATTTCTGGAAACCGTGCTGCTTCTTTCTGCATACTTCGTAAATTACAGGCAGTAAACGGATCAGATGAGTCATGGATAAACATTTCTGTGAGCATCTCTGGAAAGTACTTATCCAAAGTCTTCTTTGTACCCGTTAAAGTGGCTAACTTATGTTCGACTAAAAGGGAAGTGGAGTGTAGTTTAGCCATTTCCTTGAAAGCAATTGAAAGATGTTTATAGTCCAAGTCTACCAAAGGTGGAGATTGGTAATTATCCACCGCAGCATCTTCAAAAGCTAGAAATGACTGAGATTGTAGATAACATTCAGGTGCAAACTTACTAACTTTTTCGAAACCCAATTTCCTTGCTAACGCTATAAATCGCAGGTACAGCTCAGCTTCTTTTCTGACAGATATTTTAAGCCAACCTCCTCTTAATTCATCAATGACCTGTGGCACGAGCTTGATGAAAAACTTATGAGTTTCTTCTTTTTGGAAGCGACAGACAAGGATTTTTAGTTTTGCGTATTCTCCCATGAAACCCATGCTGGAATCCAAATAATCAACTTCAAAACTTATTAGATCTACATCATTTGTTCCTAATTTTGCAGCAATTATCTCGTAGCAATCTTCTCTTGATAGTACAGGCGAGACTATATGCTCATTCAGCTCTTGAAGCATAGATTTTAATGTTATAGTATTTTTAGAAGGCAATTCTAGGGATTTAAGAGCTACATTAAGTTTTACGAAAGGAAGAAGATCTCTTACCAAGCTTTTGTATTCTGGTTTGGTCATAATGAGAGAATGAAGCTTTGATTGAGCTAGGTATTGAACCAGAGAGTCATAGGCATAATTCACTATACTTTCCCATGCTTGAAACCTTTCTCTCTGATTTGTGACAAAAAAAACATTATTAAATACGTGAAACGTTATGTTTTTAACCGAATCTTTCTGATAATCTTCATAACAATGACAAAATTGTTTCCACTGCTTTTCAATAGCACCTTTGAAAGAATCATATTTAATTTCTTGAAAATATTCGTCACGGGGCAATTCCCAAAACAGTTTCAGTGCATTTTCACTATATTTTACTTTATCACTGTCACAATTGGCTGAGGATATGTCTATTAAAACTTTTAATACACTTGTTTGCATTGTAGATTATATTTAAGTACTTGCTTTTAATATTATTTGTTTAGTTACACGCAAATATTTAGACTAACGTACGTTTCTGTTACACAATAATATATATAATTATGAGTATATCGTATGCAATTCATTCAGATATTATCTCTCTCTAGTTAATTGCGTGATTGCGACGATGCCGTGTTTACTTTTTTTTGTGGAGTTATCAGCGTTATTTATTTTATATATAAAATTTGTCTTAAATACACTACTTTTCCTATATTTTTTTCTTTTGAATATAATATTTCTATATTATTTTATTTTCATATTTCTATTGTTACGATTACGCACGACAGGCCGTTAAGACCTAGGGCATTTTTTAAAACAATCTTAATATTAACTACTTACAATTATTTTAAACAAACCTTAACTTAAATATGTATATACAACATGCTTAACTACTCTGAAGGACCTGGTGGACAATATTTCTACATTAGCTTCTATTTTGTGCTTTTCTTTTACAGTCCCTCACCTTCACGTGCTAAGGTCTTCCTCCACTTTACTAATCCACCTCGTTCTTGGTCAACCTTTCTTTTAGGGCCGATTAGTTTTCTGGTTATTACTTGTTTAGGCATTCTGTTTGCTGCCATTCTTTCCACATGTCCCAACCATCTGATTCTTTGTGACTTGACGAACTTATTCTTATCTCCATTAATTAAAGTATGTATGAATAGAAAATTTTAAACAAAATATTGTACACAAACAAGGAAAACAATCCACAGTAGGATGAATGGAGATGAAGGAGAATCAATCAAATTCACTATGGAAAAGAAAGCAAAAATTCACCTCCTTTTTTTAATGTGTTCATAATAGAGAAACCAAAGTTTACAGAAAACCAACCCACACGAACAAATATTTAAATTACCTCTCCAACTCCAAAAGAAAACCTACTTTTGACAAAAATTAACTACTCATTTCATTTATAAACAAAGAATATCACAAGATTGTAGAAGAAAAAAAGCAAAGCAACATATGCAATTCATAAACACTCAAAAGAAGGCATTCAAAGATGTCAACAATAATATATATTTAGGACTAATCAGAAAAGTTTAAATGGATCGGAAATAGGTACAATATCACAACTGATGAAAACTGTCCAGTGAAAAACGGTATCTGGGATTCTTCCATTTGCTTGGTTAATGTTATTAGGACATCCCGTGGTTTTAGTAAAGAACTCAAGGCCGTCAATGAAACTGTTTAATACTTCTATATAAATGTAGATGTAAAAATATATAAAAAACTTAATTGTTTGTAATAATGAAATAAAAAGCAATGTTACAAATATATATTATTGTTAACAAATGTTTTTAGTTCGACGTTTTCAAACAGAATGTCTTTGCCGTCAGGAAGGATGATTTCAGCCAGATATTTTCCGATAACCCATAGCGGGACTGGTTATCTTACCTTCGCGACAAGCTGTCTCCGGGATCAAATTTTGCTAACGACAGGGGCGTCGTCAGGTCATTTAGGTTTTAACAACAACAACAATCAAAACAAGCAACACACTGAGATCTAGTCTGTCCAAAATCAAACCCAACAACACAGAAGAAAGATCAAAGAACTACATCTATAAAACAACCTGTAAATGCAACAATTCCTTTGTGGGAAAAACTGCAAGACGTCAGGATAAAATAGCATAAAACATACATCAAGAACAGGGACTTCGATAAATCTGAAATATGGAAACATGCCTGGGACAACGAGAATAGAGTACAATGGAAATGTGCATAAATAATCTGGAAAAAAACAAGAAGCATATGCAAAAAAGAAGTCAACAATAAGCATTTACCAGCAATAGCGAATTAATAGACAGGTCGGACACATAATATCATCTAAAATTTATGCAGAATATACACGCAACACACAATACACAAACACAGAATATACGTAAACCCACATTAAACAACCAATAAAAAACATGTACCACACAGTCAGAATTTGATATCCCGAAGATAAAATCAATACCCTCAGATAAAATCAATACCCTCTGATTTTTTCAATTTTCAACCAAAACAAGCTTTTGCCTACATCTCGACGCTAAGTAAATTAACTAACAATTTTGAAGAACCTAAACTACTAATACATTATTGGTTATACATTTTCGCAGAATTTTTAAAATAATCTTTTTAAAAACGATATCCGGAGTGCAAATCGAAACGTTCAACATTAGTTAAAAATCTAATTTGCATTACAATCAATTGTGACTTAATTCCTATAGAAGTTAAACATGCCACAAGAAAACCATTTCAAAACCTTTTTACAAAAGAGGTATATTGCTGTGTCTTCCTCCAGTCCGATTTTTATAACAATTCAACACATCACTGGATGACCATATACTGTTCGTTTAAGATTCATGATTAAAAAATATAAAACCTTCATGATTGAGTTTACCAGTTTTTTTTTAATAAATCTACAATAAATCTGCGCTTTCTAGTAGAAAATATATTACATCAATCTTTTAAACAGAGCCAATATAGTTCTTGAAAGTCTTCTTTAATTCTATGAAGGGGCATTTGGTCCCAAATCTCATCGAACAAGTACTCTTTATCAACAGTAAAGAAATGTAAAGCTTCTTCTGGACTGGACTTCATCTTCTCTAGTCTTTCTGGCGGTATAAAAATAACGCGACGGTTCTGAGTAGCTACATATACAGCACAAGGTTTAAGCTCGTCCACTGAGGAAATAAATTCGTTGTAAGGAAAGACTTCTTCCACGTTAACCCCATATTCTTCCAAATTTGTCTTTACGTGGTTATAGTATTCATCCATAAGTTTTGGTAGATACTTTTGTCTCGTTTCTATATTTGTACACACCTGAAAGAAAACAAATGAGGTATTTATATTGCTAGTTTACTTTAGAGCTTACATAATTAAAACAATAATAATAAAAGCTTTATGGCTTGTAGCTTATCAGCAGTATACGTAGAAAAGACTCACCTGAGTTAGCACCAATAGGTCCAAAGCTGGTGGTACATATCTGCACATTTGAAAGTCGATCAAATAACAAGCTATGGGGTTTTTATTATCATCCCATTTGAACATCATATTTTTCCACCAGACATCCCCATTACAAATAACGTTAACGTACTTTTTGGATTTTCTGAAGCCTGAATATATTTTTGAGTATACCCGGGTTTTAATTCTACTCTGGAACTCCTCCATAGACATATCTTTCACAATTTCTGGAAATCGCTCTGCATGTTTCTGCATACTTCGTAGATTACAGGCTGTGAATGCATCGGATGAGTCATGAATAAACATTTCTGTAAGCATTTCTGGAAAATATTCATCCAAAGTCTTCTTTATACCTGATAATGCTGCCAACTTATGTTCTAATAAAAGAGAAGTGGAGTGTAGCTTAGCCATTTCTTTAAAAACAATTGAAAGATGTTTGTAGTCATAATCTATAAAAGGTGGAGATTGATAATTATCCACCGCAGCATCTTCGAAAGCTAGAAATGATTGAGATTGAAGATAACATTCAGGTGCAAACTTACTAACATTTTCAAAACCCAATTTCCTTGCTGACGCTATAAATCGCAGGTACAGCTCAGCTTCTTTTCTGACAGATATTTTAAGCATACCTTCTCTTAATTCATCAATGACCTGTGGTACGAGCTTGATGAAAAACTTATGGGTTTCTTCTTTTTGGAAGCGACAAACAATGATATTCAGTTTTGCGTATTCTCCCATGAAACCCATGCTGGAATCCAAATAATCAACTTCAAATTTTATTAAATCTACATCATTTGTTCCCAATTTTGCAGCAATTATCTCGGAACAATCTTCTCTTGACAGAACAGGAGAGACTATATGCTCATTTAGCTCTTGAAGCATAGATTTTAATGTCTTAGTATTTTTAGAAGGCAATTCTATGGATATAAGAGCTACATTAAGTTTTACAAAAGGAAGAAGATCTCTTACCAAGCTTTTGTATTCTGGTTTGGTTATAATAAGAGCATGAAGCTTTGATTGAACTAGTTTTTGAACCAGAGAGTCATAGGCATACTTCACTATAGTTTCCCATGCTTGAAACCTTTCTTTCTGATTTGTGGCAAGAAAAATATTCGTAAATACATGAAAAGTTATGTTTTTAACCGTATCTTTCTGATAATCTTCATAATACTCACAAAGTTGTCTCCACTGCTTTTCAATAGCATCTTTGAAATATGTATATTCAATTTCTTGAAAGTATTCGTCACGGGGTAGTTTCCAAAGCAGTTTCAATGCATTTTCACTACATTTTACTCGACCACCGTCACAGTTGGCTGATGATATGTCTATTAAAACTTCTAATGCACTTGTTTGCATTGTAGATTACACTGAAGTGCTCGCTTTTGATATTGTTTGTTCAGTTACACCAAAATATTCAGACTAATACACGTTCCTGATACGCAATATTATTTGAAATAAACATTAGTTGGCAATTATTCAAACAGATATTATCTCTCTATTTTGTTATGTGATTGCGACGGTGACGTGCTCGTTTTTTTGTGGGAGTTATCAGGATTTTTTTGTATTTACAATTTTTCTTACATACACTGCTTTTTCTATGTTGTTCTTAAATTTTTTCTGATAAAAATGAAGTTTTAGAACATGTGCAAATCAGGAAAGAAAAAATTTATATTTATTTTGAAATATTTTAGATTAAACTGCGACAATGATATTATTAATATTTGTAAAAAAATTGGAAATATGTTTGTATAAATCAATCAGATACACAAATAAAAACAATATTTTCAGCCGATGATCAACACATAGATAATCCAAGTTAGAGAAAGATGAGACTAGGTATTAATGACAAATTTGTCAGGTTTCGGTATATGTGCGAAACAATTCACAGAATATTAAAGAACACGACAAGAAAAGATACAATGATTATACTATATAAGACACCTACTCTAATATATGAATGTGAAAATTTCGTAATAATACAAGAAGATAATTATAGAATCTGCGCTAGCGAAATGAGATATCTCAGAAAAGTGAATGCAGCAGTGTTGTTTCATCATCAACAGCAGTGTTATTTCCGTCGGTTTTATCTTGTTTTTTCGAA